CCCCCCCCCCAAAGTCATTCACTTGTGAATGATAAGGGAAAGATGGGAAGTGTATGGATGATAAAGAGTGTGAGGCTGAGTAAGTAGGGTAGCGCTGGTGGTACGGAGGCCGTAGCTAAGGTGAAATTGGTGACACGTAGTCACTGCGGCTGTAGCCGAGATGAAATTGGTGACACGCAGTCACTGTGGTCGTAGCCGAGATGAAGTAGGTGAGATGAAGTAGGTGACACATAGTCACTGTGGCCGTAGCCGAAATGAAATAGGTGACATGTAGTCACTGTGGCTGTAGCCGAGATCAAATAGGTGACACGTAGTCACTGTGGCCGTAGCCGAGATCAAATAGGTGACACGTAGTCACTGTGACCGTAGCCGAGATGAAATAGGTGACACGTAGTCACTGTGGCCGTTGCCGAGATGAAATAGGTGACACGTAGTCACTGTGGCCGTAGCCGAGATAAAATTGTGACTTGACAGTTTTCGTGTAAGTATATGTTAAGGGGTTTATAATGGGCCTGAAATGGGCCTATTTATGGACAACTAAAGTTGGTTAATGCAGCAGACGACAGCTGTCATGGAAGAACGTGCAGTAATAAATATCGTCTGCGAAAAGTAACAGTCACATTCGAAGGGACGCGGTGTTAATTTAAACGGCGAATTTGAAAGGGCACGGTTGTGACGGTTTAAGGGAGTTAATCGTGACCGTCAAGATATGTTCTACCGTCATATATATATATATATATATATATTCAGAATTAGAAAAATCCAACCCAATTTGCTGTTAGCTTCTGGAAAAGTCACCGGTGTACCTGCACTCAACGCTGTTCATCCGCTTTTGCAGAGACCAGGTAATTTGCGAGCATCCGAGTGTCTTGTTTCTACCTTTCTTTGTTATGACAATGTCTTCTGAAGAGACTCATAGCGATGGCAGAGTGAGGGGGAGGGTTGAGGAGGCAGAGAGTAGGGATTTGGGGGTGCCGTCGAACATTCTGGAGAGAGAGGATGGGAGAAAGCTGTGTTTCAACCCTGAGGAGGAAGTTGTTAGTGAGGTGGCAGGGTATGAAACAACTTTGGAGAATAGGGGTAGTTTGGCCCACTTGGTTAAGAACTATGGGGTGCCCGGTCGTGTGTTGGTGAGGCCGGCGGGGAGTAGAGAGAGGGGGTGTTCAGCCCCGAGGGACCACTGGATGCCTCTCTACTCCCATTACCTGGCGGCTGGGTTGCGGTTCCCTTTCCCAGACCTGTTGGTGTGGTTGTTGTTGGAGTATGGTCTGGGGTTAACGCAACTCACCCCCAATGTCATGAGGTTAGTGGTGGCGTTTGCAGTGTATAGCCGAAGTCGGGGGGTAAGTTTTCCCACTGCTAACGTATTCAAGTACTTTTACGTCTTGAATGCTGGGAGTGGTAGGGAGAAGGGGTGGTACTATTTTACGGGCCGGGTAGCGAATAAGCGGAGGAGGGGTTTGTTTAGCGCCGGGCCGTCTTCCATTAAGGGGTGGAAAGATAAGTTCTTTTTTGCGGATGACACGGAGTGGGATAAGACTGATGCTGAGGTGGAGCACTTGAGTCGCTAGAAGGCGAAAGGGTTAAACCTCAACGAGTATAGTCTGACCCCGGGGGAGTTAGAGGATGTGGGGGAGTTGGAAAAAGGGGGCGTGGGTTTGCTTGACGTTATGGAGTATACGAGCCAGAGGATGTTAGACGCGACTGAGATATATGGGCCGAGCTCACAGAGAGGAGGTGTGTAACTTTAATTGTTGATTTAGTTCGAGAATTCTGATCAGAGTTTAACCTTGTTTTGTTTTGCAGAAGAGATGAACAAGTTTTTGGACGCAGCCGGTGGAGCTGGAATTCCAAAGAAGGGAAGAGGGAAGAGAGGCGAGGTCAAGAGGTGGGGGGAGGAGATTTCAATGCCTCAAGCCGAAGTGGGAAACTTGGCCATTTCCCAGCTTGGCCACATTGGAGGTGAAGTGACAGTGGCTGAGGAAGGGCCCATTGTTGCGAAGAGGAAGAGGTTGAAGCAACAAGAGGCCGTGGAGGAGATACCGGAGCCTGAGCCTGTGACTGCACCCCTCCGTCTGGAAGGGACCTCGTCAGCTTCAGCTGTTGAGTTCGCTGCTGCGCTCCCAGAGCAAGGATACATCCGAGCGCCCACGACGAGCTTCTATGACTCCGGGATGAGGAGCACAGCCAAGAGGTTTATCAACGCTTATTTCCCGGAGGTGGACCGCCAGCACGCGAAGGACGAGGTGGCCGCCAGAGGTTCAGTTGGCGTTGTTCGTCAGGCGCTGGAGGTATGGTACTTTGACTTCGCCTAAGGTTTGGGGATTACCATTGTGAATTTGTTTGGCGATCTGAAATTGTGCCATTATGCAGGCTATTAACCTCGTGAATGCTTTGGCCAATGAGCATCACGAGAGTTTAAAAGAGAGGAGTCAGATGAAGAAGGAGAACGTCGAGCTTGTTAAGAAGAGCGAGGCTGCTGAAGCCGAGGTGGCGAGGTTGAAGGCGGAGATGGAGGAGCTCCGGAAGGAAAATGCCACCTTCAAAAAAGACTCAGAGATCTCGTACCAGAAAAGGAAGATATGCGAGGCTGAGCTTCAGAAGAGGGAGAAGGAGCTGGACGATGCGGGGAGGGCAATGGCTGAGTTGGAGCTCAAGGTTCACAACTTAGTCGAGGAGCACGTGGAGGGGTTCCTGAGGTCCAGCACCTTCGAGGATATTGTTAACCTCTACCGTCTTCCTACTGCCATTATGGCCTTCTCTGACTACTAGAAGAAGGTAAAACTGGAATATCCTGACGTGGATGTGACGAAGATTACCTTTGGAGAGCAGGAAGGGGAGGTGGAGGAAAATGGAGAGAGCAGTACTGCTGACTTCTGCCCGGAGGTAACACTGAAGTGGGAGAAGGACAGTAGGGGTCAAACCATTTTGCCTCCCAAGTTCAGTTTTGAATTTGTGGTGGTGGGTGAGGAAGACGAAGGCAGCGAGGTCACTGAAGGTGCTGAAAGGCCAGCTGAAGGTGCTGACCAGCCAAGTCAGCCTGCACATAACCCTGAGCAACCGGCGGCCAGCCCGAGCCAAACTGTTGACTAGATTTGGCCTCGGTTTTTTTTTTTTTTGAGAGATATTCTTTGTAATCAATTGGAAATTAATGGAATGAATTTGATTCTTTTTTATTGCGTCTGTGATCCAAAATAGGAGAAGTTAAAATGACATTGTTAGTACAATTAAGTTTGAAGAAGTGGAATTGACTTTGTCCTTAATTGACGTCGTCTTCAATTGTACTGGAATGTTATTTACAAAAAGATGCCTAACTCAGAATAAAGAAAGGAACTTTCAAGGATGGAATTTTTTAAGATTGTTGACGTTCCAAACTCTAGGCACCCTTTTGCCCTCGGCATCTTGGAGAATGTATGCTCCGGGGTGCGGGACCTCGGTTACAATGTAAGGGCCTTCCCAGTTTGGTGCTAGCTTGCCATATCGGGTCTCGAACCCTGTGAGCCCAGCTTTTCTGAGGACGAGGTCACCGACTCTGAAGTTTCGAGGT